AACCTTGGAAGGGTAGAATGAAAAAGGGAAAGTATTGGTCCATCTCCCTAACTAATATATATAAAAAGTCTTAAGCACATATTAAGAAACCAAATTCAGCATTGTGTAAAACAATTCTATTGTGGTTAAATTGGGTTTAATCCAGGCAAACAAGTTTTGTTTAACATTAGAAAAAGTGTGTTGCTCCATCCCCTAGCTGGCAAAGCAGTGCCAGTGTCAAGATGTCACTGTGATATGCAGCCTGCTGCTTGTTCCTCCCAGCTGGCACTGGTTTGCAATTCTGCTGCCTGTGCCATTACACAAGGCCAGCCAGAGGGTGGCCCCGCCTACAGCAGCTACAGGGGTGTAGCACAGAGGCTCCTCCCTGTGCACCTGGCCCAGTGGCACTGGCAGTGGAGGCAGGTGCTACAGCTGGGAAGCTGGAAAGAACTCTTTACTCCCGGCAGGCACCTGCTCTGAGGAGCCTGTGGCCCCTGCCTTTGCTCCAGGTGCTGGAAAGCCTCTCAGAGTAGAGCTTCTGGGCACTAGAGGGCACCGCCTAAACAAAATTATTATTCCATAGCAATCATTAGAAGTATGAAATGGCAAAGGAATTTAGTCCAAACAAAACCCCAACAAACACCTGAAAGAAGGCTAACTGAAACAGAAATTGCCAATCTTCTTGACGAAGATTTCAAAATAAAAATCATAAACGTTCCAGGAGCTACAGAAAAATATTCAAGACCTCAGGGAGGACTTCAAGAAAGAGGTAGAACCTTGAAAAATACAGTATCTGAAATGAAACATACAATGGAGGGATTTAGAAGATTAGATGAGATAGAAGAGATGGTAAATAAAATTTTAAAGGTAAATGAATAGTCCTATGTATGTATATTTAAAAAAGAAAGGCCGAAAATAAATGAGCTGTTTAACTTGAGAATTTAGAGCAATGCAGTAAGCCCCTGCCCCCAACAAAAAAAAAATAGAAGGAAGGGATTAAGAACAGAGAATAATGAACTTGAAAACAAAGATCTAGTAGACAGGGCGAACAGCACCAAAAATGCATTTTTGAAAAGACTTACATAGACAAATGCCTGGTAAGGCAGAGTTAACAAAAAATAGGGAGACCTATAAATATATTACAAATAAAAGTGGGACTTGACAGAGTGCTATCATGCATTTCAAACATAAATGTTTATGCCAATACATTTGAAAATTTTGTTGAATTAGGCAAATCCTCAAAAACTATGTATCACCAAAACAGATTGAGGGAGAAAATAAGAATTTAGATTATTCCATACCTATTAAAAGAAATGGATTCAGTAAATGAAAATCTTGTCATGAAACTACTCAACACTCAAGAAACCAATAATTGTAAACTCATTCATGGAATTAAAATATATATTCCCACCATTGTTTATGAGGGTAGGAAAACCTTGGAAGGGTAGAATGAAAAAGGGAAAGTATTGGTCCATCTCCCTAACTAATATATATAAAAAGTCTTAAGCACATATTAAGAAACCAAATTCAGCATTGTGTAAAACAATTCTATTGTGGTTAAATTGGGTTTAATCCAGGCAAACAAGTTTTGTTTAACATTAGAAAAAGTGTGTTGCTCCATCCCCTAGCTGGCAAAGCAGTGCCAGTGTCAAGATGTCACTGTGATATGCAGCCTGCTGCTTGTTCCTCCCAGCTGGCACTGGTTTGCAATTCTGCTGCCTGTGCCATTACACAAGGCCAGCCAGAGGGTGGCCCCGCCTACAGCAGCTACAGGGGTGTAGCACAGAGGCTCCTCCCTGTGCACCTGGCCCAGTGGCACTGGCAGTGGAGGCAGGTGCTACAGCTGGGAAGCTGGAAAGAACTCTTTACTCCCGGCAGGCACCTGCTCTGAGGAGCCTGTGGCCCCTGCCTTTGCTCCAGGTGCTGGAAAGCCTCTCAGAGTAGAGCTTCTGGGCACTAGAGGGCACCGCCTAAACAAAATTATTATTCCATAGCAATCATTAGAAGTATGAAATGGCAAAGGAATTTAGTCCAAACAAAACCCCAACAAACACCTGAAAGAAGGCTAACTGAAACAGAAATTGCCAATCTTCTTGACGAAGATTTCAAAATAAAAATCATAAACGTTCCAGGAGCTACAGAAAAATATTCAAGACCTCAGGGAGGACTTCAAGAAAGAGGTAGAACCTTGAAAAATACAGTATCTGAAATGAAACATACAATGGAGGGATTTAGAAGATTAGATGAGATAGAAGAGATGGTAAATAAAATAGAAATTAGAGAATAGGAAAACAAAGAAGCTGAGGAAGAGAGAGAAAAAAGAATCTCCAGGAATGAATGAATATTAAGAGAACCATATGACTAATCCAAATGGAACAATATTTGCATTATAGGGGTATCAGAAGAAGAAAGAAAAAAAGGATAGAAAGTCTGTTTGAGGAAATAATTGCTGAAAACTTTGCCAGTGTGGGGAAGGAAATAGTCTCTTAGGCCATGGAAGTGCACACATCTTCCCAAACAAGTTACCCTAGTAAGATAACACCAAGACATGTAATAAATAAAATGGCAAAGATCAAGGCCAATGACAGAGTATTAAAAGCAGCTGGAGAGAGAAAAACACATACAAAGGAAAACCCATCAGGCTATCATTAGACTTCTTAGCAGAAACCTTATAGGCCAGAAGGGAGAGACATGATATATTTGAAGCAATGAAACAGAAGGACGGTGAACTAAAAACAGACAAACCGGCAAGATTATCATTTAATTTTGAAGCAGGGATTAAGCAATTTCCAGATAAGCAAAACTTTGGTATTGTTCATTCTTACCTCCAACAAACTGCCTCTACAGTGTATTTTGGGGGGATTGCTATAGATGGAAGTGCTCCTAAGGCTAAATAGCTATCACCAGAGAAAATAAAACCATAGAAAAGAAAGTAGACCAGTTAATTACTAAGCAGCTGCAAATCAAATCCACGACCTCCAAAGTCAGTCAAGGGATAGAAAAAGAGGACAGAATATGATACTTAGTGTACAAAGAATGTATGAGGAAGAAAAAGGAGGAAAAAAATACCTTCAGATTGTGTTTATAATAGCATACTAAGTGAGTTAAATTAGACTATTAGACAGTAAGGAAGTTACCCTTGAACCTTTCATAACCATGAATCTAAAGCCTTTAATAGCAATAAGTACATACCTGTTGATAATGACCCTGAATGTAAATCATCTGAGTGCACTAATCAAAAGACAGAGTCCCTGAATGGATAAAAAAACAAGACCTATCTGTATGCTGCCTACCAGAGACTCACTTCAAACGTAAAGACATACACAGACTAAAAGTGAAGAAATGGAAAAAGATATCTCATGTAACTAACAGGGAGAAAAAAGCAGGAGTTGTAATACTTGTATCAGACAAAATAGACTTCAAAACAAAGTAAGTAATAAGAGACAAGGACATTACATAATGATAACGGGGTCAGTCCAACAGGATATAACCATTTTAAATATCTGTGCACCTAACACAAGAGCATATACACATGTGCAAGAAATACTAACAGAATTGAAGGGGGAAATAGAACGCAGTGCATTCATTTTGGGAGACTTCAACACACCACTCACTCCAAAGGACTGATCAACCAGACAGAAAATAAGTATGGAGATGGGCACTGAATAACACATTAGAAAAGATGGACCTAACAGACATCTACAGAATGCTTCACAAAAAGGAGCAGGATATACATTCTTCTCAAATGCACATGGAACATTTTCAAGAGTAGATCATATACTAGGCCACAAAAAGAGCCTCAGTAAATTCAAAAAGATTGAAATTGTACCAACCAGCTTCTCAGACCACAAGGTATGAAACTAGAAATAAATTATGCAAAGAAAACAAAAAAGCTTACAAACACTTGGAGGATTAACAACATGCTCCTAAATAATCAATGGGTCTATGACCAAATAAAAACAGAGATCAAGCTATATGGAGACAAATGAAAACAACATCTTAACACCCCAGAACCTGTGGGACATGGTGAAGGCAGTTCTAAGAGTAAAGTGTATAGCAATACAGCCTTACCGCAAGAATGAAGAACAATACCAAATGAACAGTCTAAACTCGAAATTAATGAAACTAGAAAAAGAAGAACAAAGGAGACCCAAAGTCAGTAGAAGTTGGTACATAATAAAGACCAGAGCAGAAAAAAATGAGGACAATAAAGCAATAGAAAGAATAAATGAAACTAGGAGATGGCTCTTTGAGCAAATAAACAGAGTAGATAAATCCAAGCCAGACTTACCAAGAAAAAAAAAACCGTGTACACACATAAAAAGAATCAGAAATGAGAAAGAAAAAATCAGTATGGTCACCACAGAAATACAAAGAATTATTAGAGAATACTGTGAAAAATTACATGCTAAGAAATTGGATAACCTAGAAGAAATTGACAACTTTCCGGAAAAATACTACCCTTCCAAGGCTGACCCAGGAAGAAACAGAAAATCTGAACAGACCAGTTACCAGCAATGAAATTGAATTGGTAATCAAAAAAAGTACCTAAGAACAAAACACCTCGACCAAATGGCTTCAATGCTGAATGTTATCAAACATTTAGTGAAGATCTAATACCCATCGTCCTTAAAGTTTTCTATAAAATGTGCACAAACATATGTGTATAATACTATCTAAACATATATATGTAATTATATACCTATAAATGTATATATGAATAAAATTGGTGGGCAAAATTACTTATCAAGGCTACTTTTTAGAAACACATTTGTAAATTTTAGATGAATTGTTTTTTAATAAAATTATATCCCAACTATTTTTAGATGCTGCATCTGTCAGAAGTATTTAGCTGTATGCTTGGTATAATGTTTAAACGGTTGCAGATTGAGGTGAATTAGTTTGAAGTTAAACATCACAAGTATGAGTAGCCTATTTGATACTGTGATAAGAAAACAAGTGAGCATGTTTATATATAATGACTTACATTTCTAAAGGAGAAATTTTTTTTCTTATTTCAGGCAACCTAATGAGGCCTCTCTTGAATTATGGTATTGCTTGGTGAGCATATCTTTTTTACTTTATATTACTTTTCAGAATAATGTTGATTAACTTAAGTAAATTAATTGTGTTTTTGCTTTATTGCTGCAGTATGTCTATGGGTTTCCTGGTTGAAGAGACTGCACCAGTTGTTTGGAGAGGCCTTATGGTAATGTCAGCCATTGAAAAACTGTTGAGGCAGGTAAGAAAATTGCATTAAGCATATTTTATTGTTGGCACACTGTAGTTAATGTGTCTGATTGGAGAATTGTGAAAAGTCGTAATCAGGTTTGAGAAATTTTGCAAAAGAATCCAGTTGATACACTGAATGTATCATGAATAATGAGTTACCTGGCACTAAGACCAAATTTCACTGTTAACATGATTTATTTAAATTTTCTCATTGCTTATGAGTACTAAAAATCTTGATGTCTTAGTTCAGAATACTTTGTTTTAGAACAAAATGAAATTTTTTTCACTCTGAGTACATATTGCTATGTATCAGTGTATAAATTATCTGTCCAATCAATGTTAATTAACCCTTAAGGAAGAGAACAGTTGATTGGATAATCTGAAAATACCAGATGGGCTATATGTTATTTATAGGAATAAATTTTATTTTTTCTTTGTAGCTGTGAATTTATAGTTAATTATGTTCTAAGTAAATATAAGTGATTTGGATTTTCTCCACCATCTTGTAGCAATTACTCCTCACTTATGCAGATTTTACTTTGGATCAAGTACCATGCTATAGGTTTACAATTCTAATGAAAGATATTCCTATATTCATTTGCAGTTGTGGAAGTGAGTAGATGAAATGTCTTGAACTCTGAAACTTTCCTATTTTCATTATAACATCTTTCTTCTGCTGCTTTGAGTTCTGATAAATGTTCTCTTTGATCTCCTGTCCCAGAATACCTGCTGTTTTCCTAGTGCATTTAAGTCTCTTGGCTGCATTTCTTCTTTTACACTCAGATTCCATAGTTGGTTATTTCATTTATACTCCCAATAATACCCCTTCCTTACTGATTCCTTTGTGACTTTGACCTTAAATTGTGTGGATTAATCCAGCCTCTTTTTTATTTTAGGAAATCCTAAAACAATCTTCAGTTTATAATTAGAGTTAGAGATTTGGAAACACCAAAAGGAAAATTCTGATTGTGTCATGAGAATATTTTAAATATTAATTAATTTTCTCCCTCCTATGTTAGTGTTATAATTCTCAACAGAAAATGATTCGGAATTCTTTAAAGCTTTATGGATGGTCACAAGAAGTTAGAAATACTCTTTCCAAAGTGATCAGAGACTTAGAAATCCAAGTCTATAAATAAGAGACAAACTGATCAAGGCCAAGTGTTGGTGCTCCCAGCTCAGGGATGCAGGATCCCAGCCCATAGCCTGTCTCCAGCCAGGTGTGCACAGGTCCTCTCTTTTCCGCTCTATGTGTCTTTTCTGATTCTCAGGGACTCTTGTAAATATCAAATTCCAATAGGTGACAAAAACATCTGTGCAAATGAGCCCCTGAGAGTGGAAGAGAGCGAGTGAGTGTGCCTGTGTCTTCAGGAGAGAGGCAAAGGAAGCCTTCCACAGAATAAGTGAGATTAAGCCTGATCATACAAATAGTTAGGCTACGAAAAAGATTGTGCCTGAAGCTCAAACATAGATAAGTATCAAATCATTTCACTCATCTGTGGAGCATAAGAACAAAGCAAAAACTGAAGGAACAAAACAGCAGCAGACTCAAGGACCCAAGAATGGACTAACAGTTACCAAAGGGAAAGGTACTGGGGAGGGTGGGTGGGAAGGGAGGGAGAAGGGGAATAAAGGGCATTACGATTAGCACACATAATGGGGGCATGGGGAAGGCACAGAGAAGACAACTAGTAACTCTATAGCATCTTACTACACTGATGGACAGTGACTGTAATGGGGTATGTGGTGGGGACTTCATAATGGGGGGAGTCTAGTAACCACAGTGTTGCTCATGTGATTTTATATTAATGATAACAACAAAAAAAAGGTTACATTTGTGTGTGCGTATATATATAAAAGAGTAAACAATAACCAATAATAAAATAACTAGTAATAATAACAATAATAACTTGTAATAATATACTGTAATAAAAGTGAAAAGAATAAAAGAATGATAGTGGTTGATTTTCATTGATGCCCTCTGTTAGGAAATTTGTTCCTATTACTTTGTTTGCCGAGAGGCTTTATTGTGAATGGGCATTGAATTTTTTCAAGTGCCTTTTTTTCCCGTTTATTGAAATGATCATGTGGTTTTTCTCCTTTATTCTATTAATGTGGTGGTTTACATTTATTGATTTTCTGTGGTTAGACCAACCTTGCATTCCTGAGATAAATTCTCTTGGTCATGATATTTTAATTATAATAAGTAATACTATGGTTATTTAAAATATATTGCTGGATTGGATCTGCTTGAGGAATTTTAGGTGAATATTTATGATATAATTTGTTTCTAGTTTGTTTTTCCTGTCACGTCTTTTTCAGGTGTTGGTATGATATCTGTGTTGGCCTCATAAAAAGAGTTTGGAAGTATTTTCCCCCTCTTCTATTTTGTGAGAGTTTGTGTACACTTAGTGCCTTTGGTTTAAAGTTTGTATTTGATATGATATACCAAGGAAACCTGGGGGTGGAGGTTTGTTTCCTTTTTGTCTCCTTGGTGGGAAGAATGTTTTAGAGGACTAATTCTATTCAGATCTTTAATTTCATCTTGTTTCAGTTTTGTTGTGTTGTATAGGAATTTGTTTATTTTACCTGATTGTAGAATATATACATAGAGTTTTTCATAATATTGTCTTATTAACTTTAAGATAGAATATAAGGTGTAGCAGTGTCCGGTCTTTATTTCTAATATTGGTAATTTTTTTCTCTTTTACTCTTGATTTTTCTTTGTAGAGTTTTATTAATTTTACCAGTTTTTTTCAAAGGATAGTTTGGCCTTCTAAATTGTCCTTATGTTTATTTCCTATTTCATTGTTTTTTGCTCTTATTAGTATTTTTTTTGTTCCTTTTAGGCTTAATTTGCTCTTCTTTTCTAACTTCTTAAGGTAGACACTTAGATAATTGATTTTAAACATTTCTTGTTTTTTGATGTTTAGTACTTAAAGCTATAAATTCATCTCTCTAGTCATTGTTTAGAATTCTGTGAATTCTGATATATTGTGTTTTCATTGTCATTTAGTTCAGAATAATTTCTAATTGTCTTTAACTTTAACCTGTGGTTATTTGTACTGTTGTATCATTTCCTAACATCTGGGGATCTTTTAAATAACTTAATGGCTTTTATTTCTAGTATAATTTTGTTTTGGTTATTGAATTTGCTCTGGATGAGCATATGATCCACCTTTGTGTTCATTCCATGTATTTTTATCAAGAATGTGTATTTTGCAGTTGTTCATGTCCTACAAATACTATTTAGGTCAGGTTGACAATGTTTAAGTATTTTATATCTTTACTTATTTTTTTTGTGTGTGTGTGTCTAATCTATCAGTTACTGGGTAAGGAGTGTTAAAATCTCCAACTATGATTATGGATTTATTCATTTCTCCCTTTATTTTTGTTTATACTTCTTTAGTTTGAAGCTCTAAACACACGTTTAGAATTATGTCTTTTTGGTGAATTTACCTTTATGTTATTGTGAATTGTTCTTCTTTATCTCTGGTGAACTCTCATCTTCATGTGATACTAATAAGGGTACATTAGTTTTCTTGTGAATACTGTTTATCTTTTTTATTCTTTCACTTTTAACCTTCTGTTTCATTATATTGGATGTCTTATAGAAAACATTTAGTTATGTCTTGCTATATTATCCAGTCTGATAATCTTTGCCTTTTAAGTGGGGGGCTTAGTTCATTTGACTATATTGATATGGTTGGGTTTAAGTCTACCATTTTGTTTTTCATTTCTTTCATTTATTTATTTTTTTCTTATATTCTTTTGGACAAATGAAATGTTTCTTGAGTTCCATTAAATTCCTCTTTTTTATCCTTAATATCTTCATATTCTTATTATTCTGTAGCTACTTCAGAGATTGTAATATGCTTTCTTGTCACACTCTTTTGAAGGTTTATATTGTGCTACTTCATATAAAATTAATTAACATATAACAGTATAGTTCCATTTCCCATCCTTTGTGTATTGTTAGGACATATATTAAATGTATATATACATTGTAAATCTTACAATACAGTGTTACAAATTCATTTAAATAGTCATCTTTTAAAGAAATTAAGAAAACAGTCTTTTCGATTTTCCCAAAAATACTATTTGTGCGATTTTTATTTCTTTAGATCTGAGTTTCAGCTGTCATTTTTCTTCATCCTAAAGAACTTCCTTTAGTCTTTTTTATGGTGTATGTGAAGAATTTTCTCAACTTTATCATTTATGGAAATGCCGTTATTCTCCCTGTTTTTCACTTCATGGTGAATTCTGTTGGTATTTTTTTTCCTTCTTGTTAAAGATTCTGTTCTATTCTCTTCTGTCTTTCATTATTTCCAGTGAGAAATTTGCCATCATATAATTGTTTCCCTGTGACAGTAATGTGACTTTTTTCCCTGGCAGCATACATAATTTCCTTTATCTTTGGATTCTTTTTCTCTGCTAATAGTTTAAATATTGATGTCTCCAGAATTATGCCCAAAGTTCAAGAGCCAAGGACATGGACTCTGGAGTCAATCTGCGTGAATTCAATCCCTATTGCATATCTAGTAGCTGTATGTCCTTGGGCAGAAACCACTCTGGGCTTTAGTTTCCTCACCTATTTAATGGGGCTAATGGTAGTTACCTCATTTTGAAGATTACATGGGTTAATATGTGTAATATGCTTAGGAAGCATAGTATCACATAAGTGTGCCCTGCTATTATTGTTCTTTATCAATCCTATTGCAAATTAGTTTTGTTTTTTTTTTAATATTTTAACATTTTTCTAATCTGCATCTAAGTAGTGACTTCTTAGAATTGCTTTATCCCTGGCTTGAAGTCAGGTTCTTATAGAATGGTTTTGTGTTGTTTCTTGTTACCTAGGGTACTTTCAACCTGAGGCAATATTAAATTGAATTCTCTGTTAGAGGTTTTGAGACCACTCTAGGGGTATGAATTCAGATTAGAGAGCTGCATGGGTAAAAACTTGGAATTCATTTCTTAAGAAGGTGCTTTCCTGCCTTCTGCCAGAGCTCA